CGCTGACAGCGGCCGGCGTTTCACGTCCACAGCAGACGCCTCGCCCAAGGCGCCTGTATTCTCGGAGGGCGGCGCGCGCGGCCCCGACCCTGCCGCCGCCAGCGCTGGTTCGGCTCCCCCAGCCGCCAAGCGCCCGCCACCCCTGGCCCTCCGCTCCAAGGCCGCAGCGGCCCCTCCGCCTGCGATCGGGGGGGGCTCGTCGCGCGTCGGCTCGCAGGAAGCGCCAAAGGGGGCCACGGCTGCTACCCCCCGCGTCTTCCAGCGAGCGGCCAGGGTGAGCGCGTCTCGCCAGCTGCTTGGCGTCGTGGACGGGGCTTCGCGCAGCACCATCGAAGCCGCCTTCAGGCGCCAGTCCTTAGTCTACCATCCAGACAGGACCCCTGCGCACTTGGGGGCTGGCGAGCGTGCAGCCCGCGCGCTCAAGTGGAAGCAGCTCTGTGACGCCAAGTCAGTGCTGCTCCAGGCGCTCTCGCAGGCCGCCGCGCCGCCCGCTGCTCCTAGCACGGGCGGTGACGGTCCTGCCGCTCGCGCCTTCGCCCAGGCAAAAGCGGCAGGGAAGGGCGCCCGCAAGGGCAAGCTGGCTCCTGGGTCGGCCATGGCCCTTCAGGCGCTCGAGGAGGCGGTTTCTTCGCGGGTCGCCCTGGCGAGTGCCGAGCTGGCCCCTCGGGCTGCCCTCCCCGCCTCGGGTGCGCCTCTCCCGAGCAGGGTTTCGTCCGCCCTCGCGACGCGGGCGGCTGAGTCCGATGCCATCCTCGCCTCCGCCGTGTCGCGCGGCCGCGTGGAGCTCGACGCGCTCCGCACCGCGCGGGCCGACGCCACAAGGCGCACGGTGCAGGCTCCAGCACGCGGCGAAGGCGAGCGTGCCGTCGCTCGCGCCGAGCTCGCGGAGGGGATGGCCGACCGCGCCTACTTCCGCCGCTTGCGCGAGGCCGCCAGTCGTGAGGCCGCGGGCTTGCCACGTACGGCTCCCGTCCAGCTGGGTCGGGATTGGCGCAAAACTCTGCGCGCCGTCCTGCACAACGCTGAGGTCTCGACGGGCCTCGCCAATGCGGATCGTGCCGCTCGTGCTGGGGACGCCCCCGCGTCGTCCACGGGGCGCTCCCTGGCCGATGTGGAGGCTGAGGACCCGCGCGCCTTGGCGAGGCCTGCCGACGACCCAGCGTCCAGCTTCAGCCGTCGCGAGGGGCGCGCTGTCCGCGCCCGTTTGGGCCCGCGGGAGGAGGCTGTCGAGGACCAGCCCAATCGCGGTGGTCACGCACCACACTCCGCCTCGCGCACGGGCGCCGCGCGCAACAAGCGCGCCAAGAAGCAGCGGCGGGCTTCGACGGCGGCGCTTCCCGCCCCTGAAGAGGGAGCCGCCACGACGCCTGGCCGCAGGTCGCGTCGCACAGCTAATGCGCGCCACTGGGCAGGTGCCGCACGCCCCAGCTCCGCCGCGGGAGTGGGCCCTCCACCGCGGAGCCGCAGCCCTGCCCGCAGCCGTACGCGGTCGCCGAACCCGTACGGGACTGATCACACTTCGCCCTCGGGAGGCGGCTCCTCGCTTCCCATCGACGTCTCGAGCGCGCCTGAGGAGCCGTCGGGGCCGCCGGCGGGAGAGGCATCGGAGGGCCCGCACACTCCTGAGGGGTCCCCTCCAGCGAGCGCCCGCAGCCGTTCGAGAGCGGAGCCCGCGTGCGAGGAGGACTCTCCGACGGAGCTCGAGGACGTCGTTTTGAGTGCTCTCACTGACTCCTCGGTGGACCTCGAGCGCGTCGTGGCGGGCCTGAACCCCGAGGTCCTCCGCCGCTTGCAGGCGGCCTTCCCGCGCCGCGCGGAGACCTCTCCGCCCGCCGCTCGCGCTGCGGCTCGCAGCCGCTCTCGGGGCCGCGGCCCGCGTGCTGGCCCCGAGCCGCCGCGGCCCGTTCCCCCGCCGCCGTCGCCACCCCGTCACCACTCTAGGGGGCGTGCGGCGTCGCGCTCACGTGCGCCGCTTGGGCGTCGCGCGGTGCGCTCTCCTCGAGTCGCTCCGAAGCGTCGCCCGAGCCCCGCCACCTCGCAGCGGCCAGCCGGCTCCCGCGCGGACTCCGCTGCTCAGGCTACTCCGACTTCGGTAGGCATGCGCTCTTCCAGCGATGCTGTTGCGGCCCCGCAGGGAGGAGGGCGTGCCGCCGAGGAAGGGGGGTCTTCGAGCGGCTTCGTGCGTGGCCGAGCTTCTGAACCCGAGCTGCCCCTCAGCGGCGCTCACAGCGGTGACGCTGAAAGCGCCGCGGCTGCAGCCTTCGCAGCGCGGCGCACGGCCTCGGCGGCCGCTGAGCAGCCCCTGCCTCCAGGGGCCGCGAGCGCCCTAGCGTGGCGCCTCAACATCGGCGGCGAGAAGATCACGGTAGTGAGGTGGGGCCCCGCCTGGCAAGCTGCCTTCCAGAGTGCGGCGTCGTGGCTGAGGACTTTCGCACCCGCAGGGGCCGCCGAGCCCGAAGGCAAGGATGACCTGCACTGCCTCCTGCGGGCCCTGCACGCCTACAAGCGCCTGTTTCAGACAGGCGGCGCCGAGCCGATCGACGAGGCCTCGTGGCTGCATCCTTACGCGGCCGTCGTCGAGCCCGAGGCTATTCCCGCACATGCTGACCTCCAGGCCATGGGAGCGGGCGCCATCCGTGGCATCGGGCTCGGCTCAAAGATCGAGCAGCGGCGGCGCGCGGGCAAACTGGCCTGCCTTTTCGACTTTCTGTACCACGTGCAGGACAGTCACGGCGCCATCCCAGCAGCGCTGTGGGGATCCCATTCCCCTCCGTCCGAGATCCTCGACGCCTTCGCGGAGGTGGTGCCCGTGCCTCATCATTCGGGCCTCACGTCCTCGGCAGCTCGTTCCGAGCTGGCCGAAGCAGCCGCAGCGGCGCGTGCCGAGCCGCGCCCGCCTTTTGACTGGCCGACCCTCGAGAAAGGGGACGCTCTGCCAGCCGAGATCGAAGCAGGGGCTCGCCGCGCCTACCGTAACATGGGCGGGTCCTTCAGCTCGGCGCGGGCGATGCTGGCTGAGGCGTCGGGGTTCGAGACCGACGGGCGGGACGCCCTCGTTCCGCCCTTCTACGCGTCCAGGCGCAGGAGGGCCGCCACGCTCATCAGCTCTCCGAGCCCTGGCCGCCCTGCGCTCATCCCGTGGTGCGTCTGCGGCCTCTGCATCTCTCTGGGAGCCGCGGCGCCGACCGCCGGCCAAGGGCTTAGTGGAGCTGCGCCGCCCGCGCCCGCTCGCCCTCCGCGCACTCCTTTCGTGCGCGATTCTCACCTCACCTCCGCGTATCTCGACCGTCGTTCGAGATCGATTGATGCCTTCGAGCTGTGGTTAGCAGAACACACTGGCGTGCCACCCGCCACGCTTTACCGAAGCGGGATACTTCTCGCCCGTTTCCTAGCGACCTTCGGCGTGTGGCTTCATGATGCAGGTTTTCCCCATTATATTTTGGTCCACGCCATCTTGGGAATCCAGAGCGCCCATCCGCATTGGAAGGCCTTTCTGACAGAAGCTTGGGACGTAGCGAAACAATGGAAGCTTGCGGAGCCGCCAAAGCTCCGTCCCCCCTTGCCACGCGCGCTGCTGCGCGCCATGGTCGGGCTCTGTCTCGCCTGGGACTGGCCTGTGATGGCGGCACTGCTGCTCATGGGCTTCACGATGTTCCTCAGGCCTGGCGAACTGCTGGCGTCCCGCCGCTGTGACCTGTCGCTTCCGTGCGACCGTCTCGAAGTCGAAGGAGATGCTTTTCTTTCGATTCTTGTTCCAAAGACCAGAAGAACGTACCCGACGCAACATGCTCGCTGCTCCGATCGGGGCACGGTGAAGATATTGAATCTTGTGTTTGGGAGGCTGGCTTCCACCGATCCTCTCGCCCCCTTCGGTGCGAGCGGCTTCCGTACTCGGTGGAATCATCTGCTTTTGGCTCTGGGCGTCCCCCTTGCCAAAGCAGGTCAGGGGCTCAACCTGACGCCCGCTTGTCTGCGGGGCTCTGGCGCAACAGACTTTTATATCGCCACGGAAGACGTCCCTCGCGTCTTCTGGCGAGGGCGCTGGCGTCAGGCTTCCAGTGCCGAACGCTACCTGCAAGCCGCCGCCGCCTCTACAGTTCTTGCTGCGCTCCCCGAGCACGCGCGGGCTCGTATCTTGTTCTTCGCCACCGCCAGCGACCGCCTCGTCGCTTCGTTCCTCCAAGTCGGCCCCGCCGCTTGGCCTGCCCTGCTTGCGGCCGCCCGCCAAAACCTTGTCACTTCGCAAGGTCCTTGAGCACGGGTATGGCTGCCTCGCCGACCTCGGCGACCAGACGGACTCCACCGTCTGACGCGCGGCGCCCCGGCTTGAGCGCGCGGGACGGGCCTGCCCATTTTGGGCCGCCCCGCGCGCGCACGCCGCGGCCGCGCTCGGAGACAGCTCGCTGGCGCGCGAGCGGGAGAATGCTTCTTCTATTCTCTGTGAGCAAGCTCCTGCTGTCTCCGCAGCTTCTCAGCCCCCCTCCCTCCTCTCCCACTCTAAGGCTGACGGGCGCTGCCTCGCCGACCTCGGCGACCAGACGGACTCCACCGTCTGACGCGCGGCGCCCCGGCTTGAGCGCGCGGGACGGGCCTGCCCATTTTGGGCCGCCCCGCGCGCGCACGCCGCGGCCGCGCTCGGAGACAGCTCGCTGGCGCGCGAGCGGGAGAATCCTTCTCCTTCTCATCCCCTCCCCCCACCGTTTCCCCCCCCTCAGCAGCAACGTTAGCGACCTTTTCCCCCCAGCCTTTAGTTGCACGAAGCTGTGCGACAATCCATCAGCTTGCAAGGCATGTATAGCGTGTCGCACACCGTGCCACGATGAGCAACAGGTCCTTCGCGTGGTCTTCAGGAGGACCACACATATCAACGCGTCATTCCTTGCCTGAAGCGAGCGTGTCTCAAACCACCACCAGTTGAGCGATTGGTTTATGAAGCGACGCACACCGAGCAAACGACTGACAGTAAGGGAGAGGGGGGGTGCGAGGGGGCAATGGGCGAGGACTTCAACCTGAGGATGGTCAACTCGAAGCCAGTGGTGCCGTCCTCGGCGTTGGACCCCAGGACCCCTGGGCTTCCTCGCCCAGCCCTCCAGCTCATCGCTCCCTCCTCCCTCCGCTTATTATTGCGAAGGCCTTACGGCCGATGCCGCCCACCCTGGAGACGACCCTGCCGTCTGGGCGCGCCAGCCCTCGCGGATCGGACGGTGGCTGCGAGGCGCTGTCGGACGTCGGAGGCGTTGAAAGCGCGCTTGCCGCGCTCGGGAAAGTGTCCCTCCTCCGTTCTGTGATGGGGAGGAGGAGGAACAGGCGGAGGAGGAGGAGGACAAGGTCGAAGAGGAGGGAATACCCGGTTGTTTTGTAACTTCCTAGTTTGTTTTGTAGCTTCCTAGGAGAGTTTTTGGGGCCTCTCGGGAGCCTCTTGGGGCCTCTGTGGGCTTCCTGGAGGGCCTCTTGGGAGCTTCTCGGGGCTGAGGGCTCGAAATGTCCGTTCGGGTCCCCCGTCTGGGCGCTCTCTTGGAACCGTTTTGGGGGCCTTTTGTGAATCTGGGAGGCGTCGTGGGCCGTCTTGGGGCACTTTTGGGCCGTTTGGAGACCCTCTCGGAGGCCTCTTGGGCCGTGTCGGGGCGATCTTAGAAGCCTCTTGGGCCGTCTTGGCGCGTGGGGGAGCGGAAGAGGCGAAAACGCCAAACATCCTTGAAAAACGTATGGGAAATCCATGATTTGTACCTCTTGGGGCTCTCGTGAGAACGGTCCTGGAGGCCTCTTGGGGCGTCTCGCAGGCCTCTTGGGCCGTCTGGAGGCCGTCGAGGCGTCTTGGACAGATCATTCGGCGATTCGGCGCCCTCTTGGATCGTCTTGGTGGCCTCTCTGGGCACTCTTGGCCCGTCTTGGGACTTTTTTGGGCTCCCGGATTCCCCTGGGGGCGGCGTAAAAACCCGGGACCCCCCCCGGGACCCACCCCGGGGGGCGGCGTAAAAACCCGGGACCCCCCCCGGGACCCACCCCAGGACGCCCCCCCCCGGCGGGGAAGGGATCAAAGGGAAGGGGCTTCCCTTCGAGTTAATTACGACGTTGCTCAATTTCGCCGAGGAGGGAACAGACGGAGAAACCTCTTCCACACGCCGACAGGGTCGGCGGATTCTCGTCCTGCCCCTCCTCCACTTTCTTCGTTTTTTCCACCTCTTCCACGTCATCTTCTTTCTCCCTGCGCCAGGAAGCCTCACGAGAGGTGCGGCCCTTGGTCTCCTGGGGAGATGCGGGAGGCTTTCCGGTCGTTGTCGGATTCACTCGGGAAGAGGCTCTCTGGATCGGGCGCCGTGGCCGTGGAAGCCATGGCTCGGCGTGAGCGGGGGCCTCGAGGGGTTCTCGGCCAGTCGCGCGGTGAACTCGAGTCGGCATGTGGCTTTCAGCTCCTCATGCCATGTTTTTTTTGTCGCGTGGCATGTGGCTTTCAGCTCCTCGTGCCGACCCTGGCCCTGGGATCGGTGAGTTTCCCTGTCCAGGCCAGCAGGCGTATACGCCGATCGGGACGATCGAAATTCGTACGGGAAGAATGGTACGATGCCCAACGGCAGTTCTTGTTCATTTCGAATAGGAGTCGCTGCCCGCGCTGCCGCGGACGTTGCTACTTGAAGACAGACAGCCGCCTGCCCACCAGCGGCCGCTTTCGGTTTTGGACAACAATTGTTGTTTGGCATTGTACTTACTTTTCCCGTACCCATTTCGGGCGTCCCAGACCCATTCTCGGCCCAGGATGGGCCTTGCCAGGGTCCGTGTAGTTGGTGTAGTTGGGCGTAGTTGGTGTCCTCCCAGGTCTGCGCAGCGGAGGCGAGGGTCACGTTTTGCACAACACGCCGCCCTTCAGATTGTGAGGGTGCCGCAGGACGAGCGTGCGCGGCTCTGCGGCGGAAAGCACACGCGGCAACGGATGCCGCCCTGTTATCCGTGTTGCCGTTTGCAGCGTGCCTTGTAGGAACGATCTCGCGCGGTTCCAAGGCAGGGCGCGCATGTTGGGCAAGGTGCCGCCCTACACGCGTGTACTGCTTGTAAGTTGGAAGCCTAAGGAGCATGAGTGGCAGGGACGTGTCAAGCGAAACCCTGGATCGCCCTACCGACATGTCTGGTGACGCGACGGTGATAGCCATTCAGAGGGAAGTGGGTGGAGGCTGATGAGTGGGGGTAGACGTCGGAGTCAAGCTGGCACGCCGAACGAGTCAGCGAGCCCCGACCGCTCATTCCCTCCAGTCTACATCTGAAGGGCTTCGCTCTCTGCGGTCGCCCCCGCTCAGATTGCTTCCATGGCCACGCTTGGTCGGTGGGTTGGCTTGGTTTTGTTGTCGGTTGGTTGGCTGACAAACTCGGCTGATTGGCTTGTCAACTAGATTGATGTTTGGCAGCTGATTTGGGCTGTTTGCTGGCTGGCTGGTTGCGCGTGTCTGTTGTACCCGAGGGCGGATGATGGCCTCAGGGGGCGTGCTCAAACTGTAATTTCGGGGGTTCGCGGCTTCGGGAGCGCGCTCCCCTTGCTATTTTCGAAGGTTCGTGGCCTCGGCTCTGGAGATGGGGTGACGCTTTTAGGCAGCCTCTGTGGGGTGCGTTCGTGGCCTCGGTGACGCGAGCGCGTCGCAGTTTGCTAGTGATGGCCTCTGGAGCGCGATTCTGTAGTACGCTACTGGGGGTTGTAGCATCGGGGGCCCGAACCCGTTGCACTTCACAATGGCTTGTGGCTTCGAGCAAGCGAATGCGGTGTAATTTACGTGAGCATGCGGCCTTGGGAGCGCGAAGCCATGATACGTCAGGATGGGGGTGTGGCATCGGGAGCGCGAACGCGTTGTAATGTATGAGGGGGCGTGGCGTGGGAGCGCGAACGTGTGGTATTTTATGTGTCTCAGGGCTCAGAGCCGAATTATCAGGAAACGGGGGGCAAGCGCCCCCAGAACACATCCCAAGGCAGACACTACCAGTTTTCTGTTCTGAAGAGGGGTGGCACCCTTGGGCCCTTGGGCAGCCTTCGTGGGGTGGCTTTGTGGCCTTGGGGACGCAACCTTGTTAGTAATGGAGTGGTGGCCTCGCGAGCGCGAACGCGTCGTCATCTGCGAGGGGTTTGTGGTCTTGGGGGCTTCAGCACGCAGTAAATTATGATGGGTTGTTGCCTCGGGAACGCGAGCGCGCCGTACTTCTCGAGGGATTGGCCTCGGGAGCGCGCGAACCCTTCGCAATCTACGAGTGATTACGTGTCCCAGGGCGCTCTCATAGATTCGGCCAACGCGATTCTGGGAGGGGAACTGGGCCCTTTTCGGGCTCCCCCCTTCGCGCGGACTTCAATCATCACAACGCTGGAGCTCGAACAGAGAGAACATCGATAACCATGACGTGGGAACTGTAACTGGCACGTGGAGCAGGGCAGTTTAGGTCACGCAGCCCGCTGGCCCCCAAAGGGAGCCGGCTGACAGCAACAACACGTACGGCCACATTTGGAAACCGAGACTGGCACGTGCTCCCATCTATCGGTAAAAGGGAACGGATCAAAGACGCGAACGCAATTTCGTGGGACGATATTTGTTTCGGAGCGAATCCAGCGTCCCGCTCGCTGGTGCGCGGCCCCACTTGCAGTGGAGTAGCGACGGGGGGGGGGGCGCATGCGCGGCACCCAAGAGGGAGCGCAGCTGTCACATTGGGAAACGCATGCCCACTGATGAGGTAAGCATGGCATATCGCCTTCTTGGGGGCGGCCCCCGATTCCGACGAATTGGCGATCAGCGCGCCCCAGCTGGAATTCAGTTGTCAAGAAAGGCAGCGAGACGCTGGGGCCAGAGCGGCATTTTTTCTTTCGCGTGCGGTGCTTGCTGCGTCCCATCCACTGCCATGTTGTTGGCAGCGTCGACCACAACGTCCATGCTGAAGGGAATTTCTCGACGCTCTGCGTGCCCCCACCAGCCCATCTAGAAACGATGTTCAGGCGAGCTGTCAGGACAAAGGAGTCCGCAGATGGTGAGACAGTGCCGACACTAAATACCTCTTGGCGCTATCTTGGAACTCTCCTGGGACCCTTGTGGGAGCCGTTGGGGTCCTCTCGGGGCTCTCTTGGTGTCATCTTCGGGGTATTCGGTTGTCTCTCGCTCTTCTTAGCCAGAGAAGGTTCTCTGACTGAAAACCTGCACACCAGAGGAATTATTAATCGCATTTTCCTGCGTGTGCTCGTTGCCGACATTCATTTTCCGACATGCTCAGCGCACTGTCTGCCCTCTAGGGGACCGCTCCGGTTACCGGAGCTGGCACGCAGACTTTCGTTTTCCGTTTTCCGTTTTCCTAGGTGCCGTTATGAATGATTGTGTAGGCCTTACAGCTGGTGCCGCCGACCCTGGAGGACGACGACGATGACGAACTGAGGGCCCTGTCGCAGGCTTGGGACATGTGGCGGGGGAGAGGAGTCTGAGGAGGAGGAGGAGGAGGAGGAGGAGGAGGAGGAGGAGGAGGAGGAAGTGGAGGCCCTCTTGGGCCGTGTTTGGGGCCACTTCGGGCACTCTTGGTCCGTTTCGGGCGTTTGTGCGCCCCAGGACCCCTGGGGGGGAAGGTATTCAGATCCGGGACCCCTCCCTTGGGGCTTCCTCCCAGGACCCCCCTGGGACCCCCCCCCGACCCCCCGCCCCGGGGAGGAAAGCATCAAAGGGAAGGGGCTTCCTTTTCGGCTCAATGACGACGTTGCTCAATTTCGCTGTGGTTTCATTTTGGCTGGCTCGTTTGAGGAGGAGGGCCCAGTGAAAGGGGCGGGAGCGGCGACGGGCCCAGGGAAAGGGAGTCAAAGGCGACGACGACGACGACGACGACGACGACGACGACGACGACGACGACGACGACGACGACGAGGACGCGGCGGCGGCGGCGGCGGCGGCGGCGGCGGCGGCGGCGGCGGCGGCGGCGGCGGCGGCTGGCGGCGGGAGGAGGAGGGGAGGAGGAGGAGAGGAGGAGGAGATGGAGAGGGAGGGAGGAGGAGGAGGAGGAGGAGGAGGAGGGAGAGGAGGAGGAGGAGGAGAGGAGAGAGGAGGATGAGGGAGAGGAAGGAGGAGGGGAGGAGGAGGAGGGAGGAGGAGGAGAGGAGGAGGAGGAGGAGAGGAGGAGGGAGGAGGAGGAGGAGGGGAGGAGGAAGGGGAGTAGGAGGAGGCAGTCGGAGGAGGAGGAGGAGGAGAGGAGGAGGAGGAGGAGTGGGAGGAGGACGAGGAGTGGGTGGAGGAGGAGGAGGAGGAGGAGGAGGAGGAGGAGGAGGAGGAGGCCCTCTTGGGCCGTGTTTGGGGCCTCTTTGGCACTCTGGGTCCGTTTTGGTGCATTTGTGAGCCTCGGGACCCCTCGGGGGATGGTATTCTGACCCGGGACCCCTCCTCCGTGACCCCCCTACCAGGGTCCAGGACCCTCCCTCCCACCTCTCTGGACCCCCACCCAGGACCGCACACCGACACCCCGCCCCACCCCCCAGGGGGCAGAGATCAAAGGGAAGGGGCCTCCCTTCGACTCAACTTCAACGTTGCTCAATTTCGCGTTGGTTTCGCTTTGGCTGGCTCGCTTGAGGATGATGGCCCAGTGAAAGGGTGGGGAGCGGCGACGGGCCAAGGGAAAGGAGATCAAACGCGACGGCGACGGCGACGGGGACGACAAGGATGACGACGAGGAGGAGGAGGACGACGACGACGACCACGACGACGAGTCAAACAGAACAGCGTCTTTCACACGCCGACAGGGTCGGCTGATTATGGGCACTTTTGCGCGTTGCTCTTGGGACCGTCATGCGAATCCAATGAGTTGGCAATTCCCCCTCCAACCTCATCACCCGAAGGGTGGTCTATGCTGTAGTAATAGTGTGTGTGTGTGTGTGTGTGTGTGTGTGTGTGTGTGTGCGGGTCTCTGGAAGCCACGTGGCGCCTTCAGCCTAGTCGTAGTGGTAGTGGTGGTAGTCTTAGTCGGAGTTACAGTATTGGTAGTGGTAGTGCAGGCGGTAATTGTCGTAGTAGTAGGAGCAGGATTTCGTTGATAATGGCTGTGCGCTGCTGCTGTTGACGACGACAACGATAGTGACGATGACGACGACGACGATGATGATGATGATGCTGATGATGATGATGCTGATGGTGATGATACTGATGATGACGACGATGCTGACGATGATGATGACGATGATGGTGATGCTAAGGAACATGATAATCATGATGTTGTTGATGATCATTAGAAGGAGGATGGAGACGCTGCTGCTGCTGATGATGATAACGATGATGCTGATGATGCTGCTGATGGTGGTGATGATGTTTTTGATGATTATTGTAAGGATGATTGTGATAATGCTGATGCTGCTGCTGATGCTGATGATGAGGGCGATATTGATGATGCTGATCATGATGACGAGGATGCTGTTTATGATGATACGGCGATGATGACGATGATGATGCTGCTGAGGGGGATGATGGTGCGGCTGTTGATGATGATCATGATGCTGATACGGAGGATGCTGATGGTGATACTGATGACGATGACGATGACGATGATGATGATGATGATGATGATGACGATGATGATGATGATGGTGATGCTGAGGATGATGATGTTGATGATGCTGATGGTGGTGATGATGATGAGGATGATGATGATGCTGATAAGGATGATAGTGATGACGCTGATGCTGCTGCTGATGATGATGATGCTGATGATGATGATGATGATGATGATGATGCTGAGGATGATGATTTGGATGACTATTGTAAGGATGATTGTGATAATGCTGATGCTGATGCTGCTGCTGATGATGGTGATGATGAGGGCGATGATGATGCTGATGATGATGCTGATCATGATCATGATGATGATGTTTATGATGATAAAGCGATGATGGTGACAATGATGACTATGCTGCTGAGGAGGATGATGATGCTGCTGATGATTATGATCATGATGCTGATACTGAGGATGATGCTGGTGATACGGATGTCCATGACGACGATGATGATGATGCTGATGACGATGGTGGTGATGATGCTGATGATGATGATGATGATGATGATGATGATGATGCTGTTGCTGCTGATGATGTCGATGATGATGCTTGCTGATGATGGTGATGACGCTGATGCTGATGCTGATGCTGATGCTGCTGCTGATGATGATGGTGATGCTGACGATGCTGACGATGATGATGCTGCTGCTGATGATGATGGTGATGCTGACGATGATGATGATGATGATGATGATGATGATGATGATGATGATGATGATGATGATGATGATGATGAGGCTGATGATGATGATGATGCTGCTGCTGATGATGATGATGCTGATGATGATGCTGCTGATGATGATGATGATGATGATGATGATGATGATGACGAGGATGACGATGTTGATGCTGATGCTGATGCTGATGCTGATGCTGATGATGATGATGATGCTGCTGCTGCTGATGATGATGATGATGATGAGGAGGAGGAGGAGGAGGAGGAGGAGGAGGAGGAGGAGGAGGAGGAGGAGGAGGAAAAAGGGGAGGAGGAGGAGGAGGAGGAGGAGGAGGAGCAAAAGGTGCAGTGCTACGACACGGAGGGGAACACAACGGACGGGGATGAGGAGCAGCTTGGGTAGAAACGGAGGAATTTGGGTACAACCAAGTGATTCCCGCAGGTAATTCTCTGGGCAGGGTTTGCACGCATTTGTTTTGACCCTGTACTGGACTGCAGAGGGGTGGGAGGGGGAGCTCTGGAGAGGCGCCAGGGTTCCTGCGCCGCAAGCCAGGGACCAGGCGCTCATCCGCGAAGCGGATCGCATGACGAACCACTGCATCTTCCGCGAGGCACCGCGCGCATGCCCGCGAGGGGTGGAAAGGAGGGAGGGAGGAGGAGGAGGAGGAGGACTAGGAGGAGGAGGCAGACCACAGTAAATTCTAGACGCTTCGCGTATTCTCACCAGTTATTGGCCTATGCGCCGTCGTTGCCAATTATCTTGCCTTGTGCCCCAGCCGAGCCCGTCCCGCTTCCTGGATTTGTCCTTGTGAGCCGTCAATCAAAAAAGTATTCTCACCAGCGATGTCGTGGCCCGGCTAGAGTTTGGACGCCTTTTGACCCGCTTCACGAGGTCGTTGACCCAAACAGTATTCCCACCAGCGTGTTCATGGTCGCGCCGCCGCGCCATTTTGGCTGCGCTTACTTGCTGGTCGCCACCGGGATTTCCAACGCCACCGGGTTTGGGAGTTTCGGATCTGGCTCTCCTTCTGAGTGGCTGCCCGCTCGCTCGCTTCGCTAGCCTTTCTTTACCTGCTGCCTAGTGGCGGCCCGACTAGTGTTCGGACGGCTTTCGACCCGCCTCGCGAAACAAGTATTCCCACCAGCCTGCTTCCCGCGCTTAGTTGTGCCTAGATCTGATCGCCCCCCCGGTGATGAGCCAACCAGCAATGTGGCTGTTAGCCACCAGGTCGGAGACGAGGTCGGTGGCCAAGTCCCCCCCAGGCCGATAGCCGCCGGCCACCCATGTGTGGCAGAAGGAGAGGACGCCCAGCACCCCCCCCAGTGGGAGCCGCCTGGTCCTACCCTCTTTTCCTGGTCTCGTGGCTGTTTGCCCCTATCCCCTCAGACAGGCGGCCCCGCTGGGTGCAGGGTCTTGCGAGGGCACCGTGGCGGGAGACCTTCGCCGGCTGGGCCGCCAGGCGCCACCCTTATCTACTGTTAGTGTGGCTGTTAGCCACCTTCACCGAGGCGAGGCGGCCCTACCAGTTTTTGAGTCTCAGTCAATGGAGCCCCCCTCTGGCCTCTGCGCAGCCCCCAGTGGCGCCCCCCCAGGCCTCTGCGCTGCCCCCCCCCAGGCCTCGGTGGAGCCCCCCCCCAGCCCCCACCGAGCCGACCCCAGTGTACATGGAAAGGAAAGCGCAGGGACAGAGGACGACAGAGACGACGATGAACAATGACGGCGAGGACGACTCGAACGGACCCCCCCCTCACAGACGCCGACAGGGTTTGCGGATTAAATCTTTGTTCGTGCATCCTGTAAGTCGGGGTTCGCCCTGGCGAAAGCGCGCATGCGACCGTCCGCATGTTGGCCGCCACGGCAGCGGCAACCAGGCGACGGCTTCCGCCCTGGCTGCTTGCCCATGGCAGGAGGCCAGCATCGCCTTGCATCTTCTGGCGGCCTTGTGCTTTGCAAGTGCTCCTGTCCGCGTGGACTCCATTTCCCAGCCGGCCTTGAGGGGAGGCTGAGGCCCTGTGGTGGGGGAGGCCTGCTTGAGGGCGGAGAGCACCGAGGAGGAAGAAGAGGAGGAGGAGGCGGAGGAGCAGGAGCAGGAGCAGGAGGAGGAGGAGGAGGAGGAGGAGGAGGAGGAGAGAAGGAGGAGGAGGAGGAGGAGGAGGAGGCACAGGAGGGAAAGGAGGTGAGGACGCCAGGGCGGCGACGACGGCTGCAGCCAAGAGCCGCAGGCGACAGAGGACGGCGATGGCAAGAAAGGGCACGGAGGACGAGGGAGTGGGATTGGCGGCGGCGCCATCAGCCTGGTCGGATGACGGTGAACTTCGCAGAGCTGGTGGGCGACTGCAGCCGATGTTGCGACCAACGATTGGTCTGACAGCAATGTATGGTGTCGGTGTGACCAGCTTCTCCACGCAGCGCGTGCGCGATTTCAAGAAACGTTACCATACAGCACTTGGCACGCGTACGCAAAGGTTTGTGGCTATGGATATAACTCTAGATCGCACTCTACACCCAGGAATGTTAGCACATACGGTGGTTCTGACCATGTGGGCGGTTTCGCGGTGGGATGGAGTTGTGTCGGCATCGTTGCTCGATGAAGTCTTATTGTGGGCGAGTCGGAGCGTCGCCGCCGACGAGCCTTGGTTTGACTTGCACGGACTGGCATCCGTAGTGGCTGCCACTCTGCTGAGATTGGGTTGGTCTTTAGCTATTCCCATTACCCGGCTCACAGTTTCTGGGATGTCTGCTGATATTACACGGGTGGCACCTCCTGACTTATTTGTACCCGTCGCTCGGGGCGCTGAGCCATGGCTTGGAAACGGGCCACTTCCCAGCACACTTTCCTGCAGCATCTCGTGGGGACTCCATTTTTGACCCCTGACAGGTCCCTCCTCACCAAGGGGTCGCCAAGTCTCGGATCCGCTCCTAAAACTACTTTGAAAGCAATTCTGTCTCGAACTTTGCGCCTCCCGCTTCAGTGTATTTTTATGGTCATGTTGCTGATGATCCAGCGTGCGCAGGGTCTTATATGATCTGTCATTGCTTTGGTATTCTCCGGCATCGCCAAACCCTTCGTATGCCTCTTGGGATTTCTATGGCGCGTGAGCGTCATCCAGATGATTCTGTATGGTACACGGAGGGGACTCCTGGGCACCATATGCCTGTCCTATCCCTCTAAGTATGGACATAGTTTATGGCGGTGCTAGCCCCCCCAAAGAACAGGCGCCCCACCCACCGTTGAAGGTTGATGTCTCGAACTGCTCAGGGTCTCTCGATCCCTGTGGTCACTTGTAGGGCAGTTCAACTTCTGCCTATTCTTTGCGCGGGAGCGCGAGCGGCGCGCCTCAGGCGTCTTTTCGTTCCGCCACGCGCGAGCGGCAGCCGCTGTCGTCGCCGGCGCCGTCGCTGGTCGTGCCGCTGCGGGCGTCCCGTCGCTTGTCTCGTCGTCGTCGCCGTCGCCGTCCCGGCCGCCGCAGTCGCCATTTCCGCCCGTGGCTGCTTGTTGTTCTTTTGCCTGGACCTCGTGCCCCTTTCTGGAGGCGCGCGAGGCCAACCTAGAATTCTAGAATCCTCCTCCTTCCGCCCCCCATCCCTGTCTCTGCTTTCCGCATGTCCGCCCGTTCGAATCACCCTTCGGAGTTTCATGGCCCCATCGGGAGCTCGACCGAAGGGCCCAGAGGCGACACCTCGCATGCGGTTCCCCAACCCGGCACAGCGTTTCGTGGCCCCATGGGGAATTCCACCGAAGACCCCAGAGGCGATTTTTGCCATGCGGTTCCCCCCCACCCAGTACAGCGTTTCGTGGCCCCATAGGGCACTCCACCGAAGGCCCCAGAGGCGACGTTCGCAAGCGGTCTCCACCCAGTACAGCGCTTCGTGGCCTCCTGGGGAGCTCCACCGAAGGCCCCAGAGGCCACGTTCGCTTCCGTCACCCTTATCGATTACAGCGTTTCGTGGCCTCCTCAGGAGCTCCACCGAAGGCTCCAGTGGCCGGGGCCGTTTGCGTCTCCCCATCCCAGTGCCGCGTTTCGTGGCCCCATAGGGAGCTCCACCGAATGCCCCATAGGCGACGTTCGCTTGCGTCTCCCCCGCCCAGTACTGCATTTCGTGGCCCTAGAGGGAACACTGACGACCACCCCAATGGCTGCGGCCGTATGCGTCCCCCCATCCATGACGGCACACCCCTCGCGAGTTTCGTGGCCTCATGAAGAGCTCCACCCATTGCGGTACCTACAACGCGGTATTCACAATTGCATCTGTTTTTGGTCCTTTGCCTGCATATTCTAGCGTGACAGAGGCTCAGAGCACCATCCTTGGGGAAGGCTGCTTGGGCGTCGTCGCCTCCGCCTCCGCCCCCCCCCCGTCGGAGGAAGGGGGGCGACATCCTCATCCTCACCACCACCACCACCATCTCCACCACCACCACCACCACCACCACCACCACCACCACCACCACCACCACCACCACCACCACCACCACCACCACCACCACCACCACCACCACCACCACCACCACCACCACCACCACCACCACCACCACCACCACCACCACCACCACCACCACCACCACCAAGGGGGCCGTCCCCAACGAGGGGGTCCACGATGCATCCCCGAGCTGGGATAGGGGATGTCTCGTGCGAGAGGGTGGGACCACACCACCAGGAGGACCCTCGGTGGCGCCTCGTGCTGGTGGCGGTGATGGTGTCTTCGCTCCTTGCTCCTACCCCCGCTGCCCGCAGCTCACGGTGATGGGCCCGGCGGAACTGTCGGAACACCGCTGGTACAGCAAGGACCGCGGCTCCTTTGCCGCCGTCCGCGCGGCTGCCTCGCACGCTCCGAAGCCTCCTGCGCGCCGCATTTTCTGCCAGCTGCATACAGCTCCGAGCGCCGAAATATGGATCACATGGTTCGGAATGGGCTCGAGGGTTCCTTAGATTTCCCCCTGCTGGTGGACTCAGAACAGACACACCAGCCTGGCTGGAAGAAGATGGGCGTTCCGCATTCAAGGTTCCCGACGGCAGTATATTTTATTGTGCACACCCTCATCGTTTGCCTTCTTTGCGGTGCTCAGCCTGCGTACGCACAGTCAACCCGCATAGTAAGGAGGAGAGACTTTCCAAGGTTACCCTAGCATCCTTGCCCCTTCGGCCAATCCTTGGCCGCTTTCGCTGGCCGCGCCCCGCTTGCAGAGTGTCGACATGGCCCTCTGAGGACCTTGCACCCTTATCGTGCATCTTTACTCTTCGAATTGGCTGTAGGAATTCTCAAAGGCACTTGGAGGTTCCTCAGGATCCCAGGGTCGCTCTGACCAAGAGTTGCTCGCGCCTGATGTTATTCGGGTGTGGAGCTCGCTCTGGAGAGATGGAGGAGAGAGGACTGAGGGAGGTAGGAGGGATGAGGAGAGGAGGAGGATGGATGAGAAGAGGGATAGTTAATGAGGGAGGAGGGGGGGAGGGTTGGGAAAGGAGGAGGAGGAGGAGGAGGAAAAAGGGGCCTTGGAGGAGGAGGAGGGAGTGGATGGAGGAGGAGGAGGGAGGAGGAGGAGGGGACGAGGAGGAGGAGGAGGAGGAGGAGGAGGAGGAGGAGGAGGAGGAGGATGAGTTGGGTGAGGGAGGAGGAGAAGGAGGAGGAGGAGGAGGAGGAGGAAGAAGGAGGAGGAGGAGGAGGAGGAGGAAGATGAGACGGGAAGACTGAGGAGGAGGAGGAGGCGGAGGGAGGGAGGAGGAGGGGGCACTTGACTAGAAACACGGAAGACGGAGACGGGGGAGGGGAGATATGAGGAGGAGGGATGGGAGGAGGATGTGTGCTGTTTTTTTGTTTGATGGTTTGTGTTTTTTTATTTGTTGTGTTTTTGTTTGCTTGTTGTTTTTGTGTGACTGCTGCTGCTTCTGATGATGATGATGACGATGATGATGATAATGATGATGCTGATGATACTGATGATGATGATGATGATGATGATGATGGTGATGATGCTGATGATTCTGCTGATGAAGATGATGATGATGCTGATGATGACGATGATGGTGGTTCGGATTGAGATGCTGATGATGACGATGTTGATGATGCTGATGCTGATGATGTTGATGATGATTGCGATGATGATGATGATGATGATGATGATGATGATGATGATGGTGATGATGATGATGATGATGATGGTGGTGATGGTGACCATGATGCTGGTGCTGATGATGATGGCGCTGAAGACAATGACAGTGATGATCATGATACTGTTGATGATTATGACGATGATGCTGACGATTATGACAATACTGATGATGATGACGACGAAAGTGCCATTTATATCAATGCATGTAGCTGGTTATGATGATGACAGTGCTGCTGATGATGATGATGGTGGAGGTGGTGGTGCTGAAGACGACGATAATGATGTCCATGATGCTAACGCGGCTGCTGATGATGATGCTGATGATGCTGCTGATGATAACGATGACGATGATTACCATGCCGACGAAGATGGCGACGATAATGATGATGCAGATGCTGATGATTCTGCTGCTGATGATGCTGATAATGCAGATGATGATGCGGATGATGGCGGCGATGATGACGATGTTGCTGACGATTGTGACGATACTTCTGCTGATGATGACGATGATGATGATGATGATGATGATGATGCTCATAGAGATCATGATGATGATGACGACGATGATGATGATGATGATGATGATGATGATGATGATGATGATGCTGATGATGATGATGATGATGATGATGATGATGGTGGTGCTGATGATGCTGATGATGATGATGATGATGACGTTGACGATGATAACGATGCTGCTGATGATGATGAAGCTGATACTTATGCTGACGATTACGACGACGATGATGATGGTGATGATGATGGTAATGATGGTGATGCTGCTGATGATGATGATGATGATGATGGTGATGGTGGTGATGATGATGATGATGATGATGATGATGATGATGATGATGATGATGATGATGATTTATTCTGGTGATAGTGATAGTGATGGTGATGATGATGGGTGTGATGATGATGGTGGCCGTGATTGTTATGGTGATGATGATGCCGATGCTAATGCTGATGCTGATGCCGATGCTGACGCTGATGCTGATGATGATGCTAGTGCTGCTGTTGCTGCTGATGATGACGATGATGCTGATGATGGTGATGATGATGATGATGATGATGAGGAGGAGGAGGAGGAGGAGGAGGAGGAGGAGGAGGATGAGGATGAGGATGCTCCACTGCATCTGAGACGATCAGGAGCCCGAGGTCGAATGCCGGCCGAGCCCACACGCTTCCTTCGGCGCCTCGCCCGCAGCGTCGGGTCGTGCCCAAAGGCACTCGCCCATCGGCGGCGGCCAATCGCCGCCGCGTGAAAGAGACGTCTCGCGCGAGCCATCCTCCTCCTCCTCCTCCTCCTCCTCCTCCTCCTCCTCCTCGCTGCCGGAATGCGGCAGCCGACGGCACAACACTCAAGGGAACATTGCCCTCCGCTGCTCGGAGGCCGATTCTGAGTGTCACTGGGTAGTCGAAGGCCAGACTGTCAGATTGGATTGGGCCCCAAGGGCCAATCTGGCCCGGCCAAGCTGGACGATTTGGGTGATTCGCCAGACTGGATTCGCGCTGGCTCCCTCGCCAGATTGCTCCCGTTTGCCAGATTGGGCCTGCCAGATTGGCGCCAGATTGGCTTCGACTACCCAGCCTAAGGGAACATTGCCCTTCGCTGCTCGGAGGCCGATTCTGAGTGTCAGCACACTGACGCTCATGGCTCCACTCCGGCTCAGGGGCTTCCCGCTGCATGGGGCCCCGGAGAGCGGGGGACCTCGCCAGAGGCGGGCACAGCGCGCATGCTATACATTGCGAGCGGCCTTGGGATGCAACGCAGCCGAATATCACAGGCGATTTTTCTTCCCCAGCCCTCGACCTTTCGACGAAAAGTGAAGCAGCTCAGAAAAGGGGGGAAACTCTGGGATGCAGCCCAAGGGGGGCCATTCGGACGCCCCCCCACCCGTCGTATATCCCAGGGTTGGGCCCCAAACTTCTGGTTCGTTCTGAACCTCACGAAGCCTGGGATAGGGGTCGACATATCCCCTGTTAGAGTACCCTGTTGCACCCCCTTGCCGCTCGGACGATGAACCCGAGCGTCGGCGAGAGCCTATGCTCCTGGATCTGCCTCCCCTTACGCTGCCGAGCGGAGGCCACGATCGCCTCCCAGCGTCAGAGAGAGCGGACTGGGCGTTGGGGTGCAACGCTGCCCAACCGCAGCACTGTTGCACCCCCTTCCCGCTTGGAGGATGAGCCTAGGCGTCGGCAAGCCTGTGCCCATGGGTCATGATGGTGATGATGGTGGTGGTGGTGGTGACGATGATGCTGATGATGACGAGTGTGGTGATGATGATGATGCTGATGATGCTGATGATGCTGATGATGCTGATAATGATGATGCTGGTAATGATCATGATGATGATGCTGCTGCTGATGATGATGATGATGACGATGTCGATGATGAAGACGATGATGATGCTGATGATGGTGCCGATGCTAAGCATGCTGATGACGATGATGCTGATGATTAGGATGATTGTGACGATGGTGGTGGTGATGATGATGGTGGTGGTGATGGGGGTGGTTGTAATGATGATGATGATGCAGATGGGAGGAGGATGAGGATGAGGACGAGGATGAGGACGAGGATGTTGATGTGGCTGAGGATGAGGATACAGATGATGACCATGCTGCTTTATATGCTGATGATGCTGATGTTGCTGATGATGCTGATGCTGATGATGATACTGATGATGATGATTCCGATGTTGCTGATGCTGTTGCTGTTGATGCCGATTATTATGATGATGGTAACGATGATGCTGATGATGTTGATGATGATGATGATGATGATGATGATGATGCTGATGCTGATGCTGATTTTGATGATGATGATGATGATGATGATGATGATGATGATGATGATGATGATGATGGTGATGATGGTGATGGTGGTGGTGGTGGTGATGATGCTGATGATGATGCTGCTGCTGATGGTGATGATGATGAGGAGGAGGAGGAGAGGAGGAGGAGGAGCACAAGCAGCTGCAGTGCGTTGCTCTGCGTCCAATTTCGAACCTTACCCCTGCGTGTCCAGTCGATGGTGGGGTGTCGGACATCCCTGCTGGGCTTCATTTGACTCTATACATCCTCCGAATTCTGAACCCCAGCAGGCGTTTCAGAAATCTGACATGCTGGGTTAGGGTTCACATGTGTTTGCTCCGTAGCAGCAGCAGCAGCATAATCAGGATCGAAAGGAGGATCGGGAACAGGAGGTCCGCCAGACGTCACGAGTCACTGGAGTGGAGCATCCAGGCTCTCGAATGCATCCCAGGGACCAGGCCAAGCTGGTGCTGCAGTGTGTCGTGTGCCTCAGTGTAATGCCTGCCCCCATCTCCGCAGGAGGCTGAGGCAGAACTTGACCTGGCCTCACAGTCCGCTGGCCCCTGGGAACGCTCAGCCCCACCTTGGTGGCCAAGTCTCCCTGTTCTAGCTGTGCGCGCTAGTCGTTGCAGCACTCGCAGCTGGTGTAGCCGCGGTCTCTGTTGCAGCCGTCGTACCTGCACGAGTCCTTGCAGCTAGGAGTCGTTGCAGCCCAAGGGCACCCTTGCATCCTTGCCCCTTCGGCCCATCCTCAGGGACTTTCGTTGGCCAGCCTCGCTCGAAGAACGTTCACATGGGCCTCCAAGGCCCTGGCATCCTCACCGTGCGCATCCTTATGATGCTGGTTGGCGGTATCTTCCCCGCTCGTGACGAGCCTCGAAGGTCTCGAGGATGCGGAGAGGCCTGGGCTCTCCTTCCCGCCCAAGCGCACAAACAGACACACACACACAAGCACAAACACACAAACTCACACACAAACACACAAACACACACACAAACACACACACACACAAATACACACAAGCACACACACACACCAACACACACCCAAACATACACAAACACAGGCGCACTCACAAACAAACACGCACACGCAAACACCGGCCGCCAGGCGAGCACCCTGGAGCTCTACTCGCCCTACGCGTCGGTGCCGGCGGAGGTCAAGCAGGACCGCCCGCGGGGCGGTGCCGGGGCTCTGGCGGGAGAGGGCCGAGTCGGACGGGGCAAGGACGAGGATAAAAACCTGCTCCAGAGCGTTCCGGCACGCTCCGAGAATGCCGGCAGGCCAGACGGGGCTAGGATTAAGTCGGGCATGTCCTTCTACTGGAGGAATGCTCAAGAATAGATTCTTAAACATATGTTGACGACTTCTCGGCTACTTTTGACTATTTTTGAATGTTTTTAGACTGTTTCTCCTTTTTCTTCCAAAATCCGCCTGTAGGAGGACATGCCCGACCCAAGGCTGGGACGAGGATGAACCCGCTCCAGAGCGTTCCAGACCTCTCTCAGAAGGTGCTCCGGAACGCTCCGGGTATGCCGCGGCGCCCGATGCATTTTCCAAGCACCCGCCGATGCTCAGAGACTCTCGATCCATCTCGGCGGCGAGCGACTTTCGTGTCTTCGGGGAAGGATCAGAAAAAAAGAACTTCTCTCAGGAGGAAAAGAAACACACAGACACAATGAATCGTCGATTCTCCAGAAGGCATGGAAAAACATGGGAAGTGGGGGGGAAGACAGAAACCCAGAAAATATGGGAAAATATGGGGAGTATCTTTATTTGTGTGTATTTATTTGTGTGTCCTGGGGCCCCTTCATTCTCAGAAGGCCAGGGGACTCCGAGCCTTCTCGCCAGGCCCGCCCCTTCTCGCCTCTCCCCCGCCGCTCGCCGCCGATCCGTCCTCACCCGACGTCGTCCTCGTCCCGGCTTCGTCTTCGAGCGAGGGGCCGGCGCGGGGGGGTCCTCCGGCGCGGGGGGGTCCTCCTCCTCCTCCTCCTCCTCCCCCTCCTCCGCCTCCTCCTCCTCCTCCTCCTCCTAGCCGCGCGGCCCAGGCGTTCCACATGCCGCGGCTGCACGGAAGCAGGCGCGCCCCCCGCCAGACCGACTGCAAGGCGCGACCACCGGCGCCCCGCTACTGTACGTGCCCACTGTACATACTCTTGTTGATTGCATGCTGGTGCCTGGGTCTCGTGAATGATTCGAAGTGTCTGATGAGAATAGTATGTTGGAACCCTCTGTCTATTTCCGATAGAGATCGAGAACTCGAGTTGCAGTATGAGTTTGCCAAAGTGGATATTGTGGTTTTAGTTGTGACACAGAGACGTGCGTTTTCTTCTTCGTATGTGGTGGAAGATCTACCTAACTTCAAAGCTGTACACATGGGATACGATCCCAAGAGTGCGCATTCTAACTGTTCGTGCGGTGTCTCCTTTTATATTAACAAAAATACTGTACGTGCGAGAGATGTGGTGAGGATTTGGGTGGCACCCAAAGACATTCGTGGACGGGGAGGAGCTATTCGAGTCAAATCGTACTATGGGGATGTGACGTGCATGGCGCTCTACTTTCCACCAAGGAGTCGTGACCCCAGGGAGCAGAACCGACTGACTACCACGGTGAACAAGGTTCACGACTTTGCACATCACGTGATGTCATGTCTACCGAGCAGGACCACGCCGATCGTTGCTATGGATCTCAACGATGGGCTTGGTCGCTGTCATGGACCCCACGGACTCTCTAACATTGTGTCGTCAGCGCTGGGTGAACACGGACGCGGAGAGGAGCACCTGGCAGGAGGACTGATGAGAGGCTTCGCGGAGACGTACTCGCTTGCGGCCGCAAATACGTTCTTCCAGTGTGGTCCAAGCTACTACGGTGTTGTCCCTGTCGAGGCAAGGATAACGTCGGCTACCCCGAGCTTCCAGAGCACCCAGAAGGGCACCAAGAAGCAGCATGCGTCGTATATTGATCATGTATTTGTTCCTGAATGCCATGTGCATAGGATCCAAAGGTTTACGCAAGCAATGAGGGCTGCGAAGCGGCTCCAGATCATACCAGACAGTCGTCCCAGGGACCACATCCCCTTTGTCTTCCAACTGGAGCTGAGACCCTGCTATCGTGCGGAACCTCCTCGGAAACGCTGGGATTTCGTGGGGCTGGGACTTGCACTACGTAGTGAGCATCACGCACAAGTGTTTCGCAAGAGTGTTGAACATGCCGTTGAGTCTCTACTTGAGCAGAGAGGTGTGGGGTCCCTGGAGGAGCTTGTCCAATCTGAGAACCTCGAGGATGCCTGGAAGACCCTGATGGAGCTCATCCAGGAGAAGGGGCTTGAGATCTTTGAGGCCAATCCCAAGGCTATGCCAGCTGAGTACTCACAGATGTCTCGGGAACGTGTGCGGCTTCTGCGGGAGAGGGGAAAGACGCGTGAAAGGTGTACTGGCTCTTTGGAGTCTACTTTGGCTTTAACCCGAATAACTAAGAAGTGCAGGTTGTTCCGTCGGCAACTTCGTGAGCTCCGTGAGGCCCAACTGTCGGAGGAACTGTTGGAGGCACAATCGAAGGGACTCGCTTCGGAGGAGTGGAGGATATGTAGACTTATGGCGGGGGCTGGTGTGGGACCTAGGAGGAGGAAGTATGGACATATTGCGTCTTACACACCGAGCATGGAGGAGTGGGTGGAGGATCTTGCGATGCCGTCGAGCAAGGGTGGAATGAGTGCGACCGAGATCAGCGAGGCCGATTTCATCACGAGCGCCTCGAGGTTCGACGATGACGAGTTTCCCTCAATCGATGACGTGTCACAGGCTGAGCACGACTTTGAACGCATTGCCAAAGGTTTTCGCACAGCACGCCGAAGGCGTGCTGCAGTGCCGTGGAGCGTGCCGAATGAGATTTGGTCGTTGCTGCTTTCGTCGCGCCAGTCTGAGAAGGTGCGATCGGCAGGACTTGGAGTTGGGCCCCCAGAGGGCATCGGACAGATGATCAGTAAGTGGGTGAAGTGTATTCTGACCAAAGTTCGTCAGCATGCTAGGCTTGTTGCACATTGGAACGTTTCTTTTACTTATCAGTTGTCGAAGGATAACGATAAGACACGCACACAGAGTACAAGATTGCTTCACGGTCTCTGCTCGTTCGGCAAAATGTGGGTGAAGGTGGCGAGGAGGAAGGCGAGGGCGATGCCGTGCTGCGATTACGGCTACTTACCACGACGTTCGAGAACGGGGGCGATTCGAACTACCGCGGCGCTTTCCTGGAGGGTGTCTCGGGGCAGGGTGTCTACGGTCGATGCGAAACACGATATGCGGAACGCGTTCGGGTCCGTGAAGCACCAGTCTCTGGACGAGGCCGTGGATAGGCTGTATGATGCTACGGACGCTCACATCCTGAAGCAGAGGCATCGAAGGGCGTGTTTTCGGGTCACGGCCGATGGCGGCTACAAAGTTTTTCGCAACACGGAGGGGAACTACATGGGGGATGCCAATGCTGCCACTGTGTTTCAGGAAGCGTTCGCGCCGCCAGTGAATGAGTGGCAGATTGGCCACCATCAGAAGTTTCAGAATCGTCTACTGGGCACTTGCGCTGTGACAGGCGAGAAGTGCGACTTGAGCCTGCGCGTCTTTGCAGATGACCTGAACAAAACACATATTGTTCGGGACCTGGCCGATGCAAGAGCTATCGTAATGCACTCAGATCGTCTACTGGATGGATCGCTACGCGAACGCGGTGTCTTCCAGAGCGCGGGTAAGAAACAGGTGGTCCCTCACTTCAGTGGTCCTGGGGCGCATTGGGCCACAAAGATGGCCTTCTCGTATGGTGCTCATGATCTCCCTGGACAAGTTTTACCTGTTGTTCCTTTTCTCGGGACCCTCTTCTCGACGTCGGGATCGTGGGCGTCAGAGGTTGAAGCTAGGCGAGCTGCTGCTGTTCGAGGCTGGGCTCACATGAAGCGCTTCTGGTCTGTCTGTTCCTCATGGCGTTCGAAAAAAATGGCGTTCAGAAGCAACGTGATAGGCGCTGCGATCTCGGGGCTCACTGCTCTGGTCCTCTCGGCCTCCCAAGTTGCCCGTATTGAGTCTATTTGTCTACGATATCTACGTGTGCTCCTAGGTGGTGTTGCTACCAGGATCGAGGTTGTCAACCCTGGCGGTTCCAAGACTACGGTCATCAGGACCCCCCCCGCACATGTTCTATGGCGCCAAGCGGGACTTGTTCCGATTGACTTAGAGTTGAGGGTCCAGAGGTTGAAAGAGTGGCAGAAAATAGCTCGTAGTCCGGTATACCATGTTCAACAGCTGACGGCGGTCTTCGGGATCTTGGAGGTCGAAGAAGCGGTTCCGTCGTCCTTCTCCTGGTACCCCAGTGCGTGCTCGAGCCCCAAGGATACCTCGAGAGACAACCCATGGGCCAAACAGTTTGTGCAAGATCTTAAGTATATGGAATGTACGGAGGAGGGGAGGGACGTCTTGGAGTTACTTAGGGACGAGGCCAGTGTCATAGACTACTTGGGGATCTTTCGCGGGAACTCCGAGGCCTATGACGCGTTTCAGAAGATCGATATGCAGCAGTTTCGGGCTGAATGGCTGATGAGACCGCTGCCGCCCACGGACGTGTCCCCCGAACCAGGAGAGGTTGCCGAAGGTGAATATTGTTGTACGTATCTTGATGATGATGGCCTTGAATGTGGCCGACGTTTTATATCTAGGCGTGCCCTGCTAGTCCACCAGAGGCAAGCAACTGGTGGTCAACATGGAATCCCGTCCACCATATCCAAGCTAGTTCTCACCAACCAATGTGTTGCTTGCCTGTCGACGTTCAGATGCCGTGATACGGCGGTCAGACATCTTGTGAATTCTTATCGGTTTGGTCGGTGCAGGGTTGACTCGTCGAAGTTCAACCCACCCGTGCAAGATCCTGAGGATAGGTCATGCCCAGTATGCCTGCAGCCTTTTCGGTCTTTTGGGGAGCTTCAGTTTCACCTACGCGATCATCTTCCCATCCCTCTTCCAGAGTTTGTCTGGCATGTGGTCGGCGCTCCCTGTGGCAGCCCCAGCTGCCGCGTCGGCGGCCCCAGCCGTGAGGCGCAAGGTCGAAGGAGGAGGAGGAGGCGGACGGACGAAGAAGGGAACACAGACAAAATCCAATCGGACGGTGTCGAAAGAGGAGATTGC